TTATGGTATATAAATATATAAATATATAAATATATTATATATATGTATATATATATATAACATGTTTATGAATGTACACACACATGCGCAATCAATAACAAACACGAAAATGTACCTTCGAATAAGCATACAGAATTAGCTATTTTGGCAGAGTTTAATGTACAATAACTCAAAAACTACTCATTTTTGGACTTTGTGCCTATGGAGACTTTTGATCAGGACGATCAGAACTACAAAATATCAAAAATTCAGCTACATTAGCTGGGACCCATTTTCACGTGGTTTTGTCCGGGGTCCTTTATTCGTTAAATAAAGCTCAGAAAACTCAAGAATTCGATAGAGAGGGTCAAAGTTTTATCGACGATTATATATATATATATATATATATATATATATATATATATATATGTATACATTGAAATAAGATTAAAAAAAGATTGTCTCCTAAGATTGTCAAATAATAAAAAGGGAAACAGGGCTAATCATGGGAGTTAAAAAAGATCTTTTAACACAACTATTAAGACTATTTACGCTTTATTTACATACCGCGCTATAACTTCCATTAGTCCTGTTTTTTATTTTATTATTATATATATGTATATTGAATTTATTTAATCAAATAAATATATGCAAATGGAAATTTAACAGAGCGCGTTTCCAAAACACGCGCGGGAGCTCTCTTCACACAATATCATTCGAACGTACTTCCTCCAGAACATGCACATCCGGTTCGATTCCGCGGCCAGGGAACTGATGTAAGTAAGGGGATTGGGAATGACATTAATGACAGGCGGACAGAGACCGAGAAAATTGACGTGTGGAGGTGCGTTAGCTTTAGGCGGAATCAGCCACGCAAGGGTGGATTCGTCGTGATCAGGAGGAAAGAGAAAAAGAAAAAGAGAGAGAGAGAGAGAGAGAAAAGAAAGCGAAAAAGACATCGTGAGTTTTTTAACATTCGCAGAGAATGGCGAGCCGCGACGAGTTGGTCTCGCAATTCGCGGACGTAACTGGTGTTGACGCCGAGAGAGCGCTATTTTACCTTGAGTCATCCGCTTGGCAGCTCGAGGTGAGACAGCACATTTTACGAAAGCGCACCGAGAGACCGAGGCCTACCTTCCCTCGCCTCGTACGCGACGCGCGCCGCAACGAATCTCGGCACCAGTTCTCATAACCTTGTCGTCGCGCCCGTCATAAAATCGCTTCTCATTCCCCCGGCGCGGCGCGGCGCGGCGTCGCGCGGCCGCCTTGTCCCTTTTGACGTTTACGCTCGCGTCACATCCTGACGCACGCATTCGTTTTCTCGTGACAGTAGACTCCTAGACGCACGACACGATTGATTCGTGGCGACGGTAAACCATTCCGTACCGGCGGGATTTGAGATTTGCAAGTGTGTCGAGCAGTGTGTCGAACCTCGACGTCGACACCGCGTCGTACCCCCGTAAGGTTTCCTCCGTGTAATGAGATTGTCGAGAGATCGTTCCCACGGCAATCCTTGTCGCACGCGTAGTGGCACGTAGTTCCCTCTTGCAGGTCGCGCTCACGAGTTTCTACGAGAACGATGAGCCAGCCGAATTGGTGACCGAGACCATCGATATATCGGAGCAAGTGGAAGGTTCGGAGGATAGTAGTATGTCGAAGCAAACGAAATCCGACACGACGGAGTCGAAGGGGGCCAAGCCGAAGCCCAGATTCGGGACGTTGAACGATCTTCACGGTAGCGACAGCAGTTCCGAGGAGGAGGAGGGACAGGCGTTCTACGCCGGCGGCTCTGAGCACAGCGGGCAGCAGGTTCTAGGGCCGGGGAAGAAGAAGAAGGATCTTATCACCGACATGTTCAAGTCGTGCCAGGAGCAGTCCATCGCCGCGGATCCCCCGAAAATTGGAGGCCAACAAAGGCCGAACACGTTTAGGGGCACGGGATATAAATTAGGTCAAACTAGCTCGGATAGCGAAGGTATCTTTCAAGCGTATATATATTTATTGTTCGCAAAAGATCATTTCAACGTGAAATTGATAAAATTGACGCTTTATTACATTCTGTGTATGTAACAACAGTGGTGATGGGAGCAAACGCAGATCAACAATCGTCGAACGGTCTTATTATATTGAAATTGTGGAAGGATGGATTTACAATAAACGATAGTGAGATACGATCGTACGAGGAGGCCGAGAATAGAGACTTTCTGGATGCCATTAAGCGCGGCGAGATCCCGACGGAGATACGCCAACAGGTGCAGGGCGCGGAGGTGCGGCTCGATATGGAGGATCACCGTCACGAGACTTACGTCCCGCCGAAAACCAAGGTGAAAGCCTTCTCTGGGAAGGGGCACATGCTGGGAAGGTACGTTAGAGACTGAATTTCACTCTGTTATCATTAATAACGATCTCACAATTGATCTTGGATCCGATCTTTGTATTTCTTAAATTTTATATCTCTGTAACACAACAAATATTTCAGTCCGTCGCCAGCTACCGTGGGCATGACGGTTCCAACGGATCCCGCTGATCAAGCTGCCAATGAAGCGCAAGCGAAAAAGGACCTGGAACTAGACACCTCGAAGCCAACCACAACGTTACAAATCCGTCTCGCGGACGGCAGTATTGTAAAGGCTCAATTCAACCTGACGCATACAGTCGCTGATCTTAGACGATATATAATAACGTATCCTTTGATCTCGAAAGTGTTTTTAATTGTGCTTATTATCTTTTGATTTCTCTAAGCTAAGCTGAAAGAGTTATTGAAAGAGAGAAAAATTTTTCTTAACATACAATGTCAGTATGAGACCTCAGTACGCCCTAAGGGACTTCAGTTTACTAACTGTATATCCAACGAAGGAACTTGCAGAGGATAAAACGATCGAAGAGGCTGGTTTACAAAATTCGGCTATAATGCAACGACTGAAGTAAACTTTTTCTAAATTCCTAGATTGAGTGATGTAACGATTATAGACACCAAATATATGTTAAATCGCTTGAAAATAAAATTTCTATGTATTTTTATTAGCAATATAGCACCTTCTTTTCTTACTATAAGTTCTTTTCTTTTACCGTATGCATTTACCTATTTCCTATTATTACGTATATTAATTGATTTCAAGTTTTTCAACAATGTTTAAAATTACTACAAGTCTAAAAATTCGACAAAGTTTTCAATTTGATTTTCATTAGTTCGCAAGCAATTAGTTCAATTTTTTTTTTATGTTTAATAAAATTGCCGTTGTGTATGTTGTACATACGACGCACCTCGCTGCTTTATGTATCACGGCACAAGAAATACGATGTCGAACAGTTGAAAGTAACAAGTAGAAACGCTTTATTACATAGCTTAGGTTCAAAATTTGAAATGTATACAAAATATTAAAATAGCTGATCATGTCATGACTAGTTGTATAACATGATGAGATTAAGGCACCTAGTATGAAAGACGGCATAATTACGAAGTACCTATATGTATATGAATCAAACGGTATGCGAGTAGAGCATTATCCAAGCTTGTGCAAATATCAATTTAATATTAAATCACGCAAGACTCTAATATCACTTTGTATCCGCGTCAAGCACGTAAAGTCCAAGATATTTCCTAAGGATCGATGAGTTTTGTATATCCTGGGCAAACTTCAAAATTGTGAGATCTTCCACCTCTTTACTCTCCTTGTAATTATCACAATGCTTATATTGATTCACAGCAATCAAATCCTTTCCTATCTCCTTGACGTACACGTGAGACGTCTGCAACGTTATGTACGGCTTGTGTATATAAATGGAACGACTTTCCAGAGTGTTCACGTCGGTTTTCGTCTTCTTCAATACTGTCAGGGTAGAATTGGCATATTGTTTATTGTCAGCTTGCTGCGTGCAAAAAGTCATGGTTTTCAGCTTGTAGCGATCGGCCGTCAATTTGGTTTGCTTGAAATCCGCCAACAGATCGATCATCGCATGATGATACTTCAAATTTACGTACTCGTTCCACGAGAGAGCAATAACGTAAGCGACGTTATTGAATGTACGGTACAAGCAATCCGTCTCGATGATTTCTCTTATGACATTTTGGTCGATCTCCGTGAAAGGGAAGTTCCACGGTACGACGGTATACGTGAACTTCCAGAAGGAGGTTGGATCGTTCGCCATGTCCTTCAGTCTGCTGTTAAATTCATTCGAGATCCCGGAATCGTACACGATAAAATTATCCATCCCGATCAACGCGTGGAAGCTGATGAAGGCAATCATATCTACCGATCTTGTCGGCTTCATCGACGGCTGCGTCACGCACACTCCCACTCTGCTGTGGCTCAAGCTCCGCGGCTGTATCTTTATGGGAAAGATGGGTGCGTAATTGAGATACTTGTTGGACTTTGTAACAAACGTTATCCCGGTGGGAGTCTCGTCGCTCGTGTACGTACAAACGAAATGGTATCCCCCGTATCTCGAATTCTCACCTAGACTCGAGGTAACCGCGTTGCCGATGGGAAGGAATTTGAAGCTCCCCAGTATGGGCTTGCTCTCGTTCTCGAAGAAGACGAGACACTGCATATTCGAGACGCTGTTTATGGTCCCAAGTCCGACAGCTCGTATCTCCCTGTCGTTGACGCCGTACGCGGAATATACGTACAGATCGTCCTCCAGGCGTTGCCAGGAGGGAATCGGCTCGTCGAATCTCGCGTTGAACGACGTGAAGGTCGTACTAAAGTTCATACAATTCGCATCCGCTCTCCTCGGCCCGGGCTTGCCGAAGTAATTGAAAACTTCCAAGACGTACCTGAGCTTGTTGTACTCGTGCCTGTAGATGAGCAAAGATACGAGGCTTACCACCGCTGTAACAGCTAAAGCAGCTTGGTAATACTTCCTCATATTGTCGACGGTTATATTATTAATCTCATATATTGTCTCTAAAGACTAACAAAAATTTCTTCTGTACACTACTGCATCTCATAATCTCCCCGGTCGCGAAATCACGTCCAGATCAGAACATTCTGAGAGAAAACAGACGAATGTTAACCTAAAATAACCTAACCTCGTAATACTTGTAACTATTGTTACATGCGCTCAATTACCTTATATTTCATTACTTTCTGTCTGCATCTCATCATTTTCGCTGGAACTGCTATTCTTCACTCACCGACTGTGTCGTAACCAATTGCCCGTTTTAATGTTTTATTCTACGTCAAATTTCTCGATCTTCGAAATTCTTGAATCTTCGATGTGATTTACATTTTCACAACCAAGTCAAGATTATTACGACGCTTTAGATAAATTCTTAATAATTTATTTTTTAATGATTACTTAATTGCAATATATAACATTAAAAAAATGTGGAATATACACAGGCATCAATGAGTTGCATTGATGCAACCTAAAAAGGTTGTTGATAGTTGATATTTTATGCGCGCAAGTTTCTCCGCTCGTGCTGATTGGCTAAAGGATAGTGAATTTTTTAGAGTCCCGAGAGGCAAGGAAAGGCGTCAATTTATGAAAATCATGTGTATACAAAATTTTCAATTGCAAAATTACGTATAAAATTTTTCTCGCAGTGTAAAAAAGCAAATAGGAAAATGTAAGGAAAAATCAATAAAGTACGAAAACTCTTATAATTATTAAATATTACAAAAATACAGTGTCCTTATATGTAATATATGTAATATACATAAGTGATATTATACACGATCTATACAATTGCATACTGTTCATATAGTAACTCTCGCACTCTATAGTAATCCTCGGAAATGCAACCTTCCAATATTACCTTCCCAGCTTCGTGCTAAAATGAACATAAAATTTCATTATTTGTCTAATTACGATATCTTATATATAGTCAAATCGTCAAATGTATACTTTTTGCACTTCATGTATTCAAAAGATAAAAGAAATTTTAAGAAATAAAAATAAAAGTGCAAAACGTGCATGCAATGTAAATGAAATCGTTTCTACCGAAGTCACAAATAAAACGAACCCTTCTAACGGCAATGGTGTTATTGCAACACCACAGAACTCCTCCACTAAATTCCGATGGAATGTTACTTTTGTTCAACACCTGTTTAAAGTCAGATAGTTTTAATTCATTTATAAACGTTGTCTGATGACCAGGAACCTGTAAAGTACAATTTGTACATTTGATATAAATTCAATTGCACCGTTCTCTTACATAATTTACGTACAACCTGTATCTCACCTCGTTTAACAGCAAAGGTTCCAAAGTTAGTATTTTATCACTTTCATCAATCGCATTCTCGGACTCGGTATCGGCGATGGCGTCTCGGCAAACCTGGTCACGTGCCGTTATCATCGCGTCTATCCACGCCACTTCTGAGTCGCCCTTTCCCTTCGAGAAATTCAATCCGCTCACCAGAGCATCAGTTAAACGTACCTACAATGAGAAAAAAATACATTTCACATAATTATACGCTTATTTTTTTTTATCTTATTTTACTTAATTTTTTTTATTAACTCTCTTGGTCTCTTGTCAGAGACGTGGTGACCTCTTCTGCATATATCCACAGATATATGGGACCTACAGTTTTAATGCCGATTCCGAACGGCTTTAGAAGAGATCCTTGTGATAAAGGTACTCTCGGTAATTCGCTATTACTTTCCGAGAGATATACCAGTTTTTTAACACAAATAAAAAAAACAAAATAAAAAAAATATATAATCATGTTATTTAATATTAGTAAAAACGGTAATTAAGAATTACCTGATAGATATGGGTTTCCGTGGTAGCGTCTAGCGTCTCTCCCCTGCCTGGAATAAATACTCTTGCACCGGTACTTTGCGCTTGCTGCGCTAATATCTCTGTATCTTTAGGCGAACCTCTGACCAAGACAACTCTTCTCGGCCTTAGCTGCGCCAAAATTTTCTGCAGGGATTCACCGTCGGATCTACCTTCGAAGTCGATATATGTTACCGATGCATTGACTGTCATTGTACGCGAGACTTGTACACATTTCGTCGGAATATCCATGGCTACTTCTGGATGATAATTAGCTTCCTCCTGCTTCATTTCTATGTTCTCCTTATTATCTTCTACTTCAGGTACAGCTTCGGCAATTTTATAATCTTCCGGTCTGCAATAATAAATGGTAAAGACCAAAGATTTACTTACAACATATAATTAAGTACATATTTATTCATAAAAATGAACAAATGAGCTGTAAGATTATTACTATAAAATGTAAATAGATGCAAATAATTGAGCGCATTTTTTATGTTTTGTATAGAGACATGCAAACTTAAAAAAAAAAAATCGAATGTGTGTATAATTTTAGAACTAGGCTCTTATTAAATATTTTTATTGATTAAATATACTTGTATAAAAATATTCTTACTTTATGATTTCTCCGTATTCGTCAATTTTAATTTTTTCCTCTACAAATGGGAACATGGGGTGTTGCTTCTTGCTTTGTTTAAAAAAGCCAGGTTTACTTTCCTGCTTCACCAGTAAGTCGTGCTTTCCCCTGCCACCACCAACTTCTATTTCGTCCTCCGACTCAGAACTCACATCCGCAGTTTCCCTAATAAAACGCAAGTTTACAATTAGTATAATTAGTATAAAACGTAAATCATAACTGAACGAACAGATAGATGTAAATTACATTTGTTCCTGTTTCATCTGCTCCTGCTTCAGCTTCTCTCTTTTCTGATACTCTTCCAATTCAATACCTTCGAGTTTCACTCGTCTCTTTACGTCTAGCGTAATGTTTCGATTACCTCCCTTCTCCACCAAGTCCCTAGCAAGTGTACCAGGAGATGTCCTGCTCGTTAATATAATACTGTTTTGTGGATTGGTGCACCATTGAAGAAATAATTCTCGCGAGAATCCACATTCCATATCGGGAGTGCTTGCAAGGACCACCTAAACATAACAATTTGAAATTAATCCTCGAATCAATTGATCTAAGAATTACAAAAATTTTAACTTTTTTTTTTAATTTACCTTCGGACTTGGGACCTGATTCAATTCAGCCATACTGTGACAAAGTTGCAAGTGTTTGAATTGAAATGGATTGTTGCGTGCACCTTCGAAGCTCCTCATTAATTTATCACTCATCCATTCGATTTGCGATTTTGCGAATTCCACAACGTTGTAGCTCACGTTGTTAAGGAGAGCCAATGAATAGGCAAGTAGTCCGGATTCCTTGTTACGCCACAGCTGATCCAGCATATGTGCCAACTCCAGTACACGACCAGCTGTATCTACACTGACCAGCACATTTCCACCGCCTCGCAATGTTTGCAAGATGTTAGCTAAACAACACAAATTGCAAATGAAAAATACATTGAAAACGAATTTTACATTTATCTATTTTAATTTACGATTTTAACAAAAAATACGAAATTTACTCATTAATTTCTCATCCCTTGTTCTTCGTCTGGCTTGTTGGTACGTGGCATTGAACGCATCTGTTATCAATAATGATGGCCTTTGCAATCTTTCCAATTCGCAACCGTTCAAGTGTCGTTCCTTTTTGTGATTAAAATCCACGGCATATATTATGTCCTCTTCCCCAACTTTCACAATCTTCCAAATTGTCCCACCGATCATGTGTCCAGCTGGTAAGGGCGTCAACGTAACACCATAGCCTTTGCCTTTCATTGATATGCTTTGGTTGTATTTTAGCTGCACAATTTTATCAAATGCAGCATCGACGTCGTCTAGGGTAAATAGATCAAAGTCTTCCATATTGTGGCGGGACTGAAATCAATATAAATAATCAACTTTGATACTTAATATCGATTTAAGACTGATACCTTGTTTACATTTCTATATTATTAAAGTATTAAAGTATTATATGCATATTAGAATATACCTGATATATGTCATACATGAACATTTGACCCATTTTGTAGACAGGTATGGTAGCGTATATGGGACAATTCAAGCCACATTTACCCACCAGATACGGTAGTGCACCTAAATGCAATGGATCTGGATAGGAAAGTAATACCGCATCTATCTGATGCACATGTCTAGAAACGTAATGAAGAGGAATAGTATAGAAGAATAAAGTATTATAACAGAATATATTGTTGCAGTAATTATCTCATGACAAATACCTCTTCAATTCTTTTATGAAGTCCTGATCGAAATTTTCATCCCATCCACAATCTAATAATATCCTCAGTTCATCCACTTGCAATATGTAGCAAGGTGGAGATTCGTTCATCGCTCCCGAGACAGCGTGAAGTTTTATGATAGATGTCATTTTGTATTTCTTTATATCACAAATGTAAATCTCAAATAAGTTGTGTTAGAGATGCGTCAAGCGTTCCCGTCGTCTTGATTTTTAAACCTAACCTTCAAAATCGTATCTTACTGAAATAACATAAAAAGGATTATATAAACGGTTTATGGAACTCAGAGTATGTGTGTCAAATAATTGTACAAAATTGAAGGCACAATAAATCTCTTAAAAAAAAAAAAAAAAAAATCTTACTGAAATATAATAATACTGGAACACGCACGACCCATGCTGCCTTTGTTAAGAGGAGATCCGAGAGAGAGCATTCAAAGTTGTCTTTATCTTTTTCCAAGCTATACTGCGCATGTGCAATAGATAGGTAGTGCCGGTAGTGGGGCTCGTACAGTTGTAACCGGAATCAGTGCCCGTTTCTATGAAATCGACAAATTGATAATCCCTCTTAATCTGACCATCGGACCTTTTTCCCCGAAGACCCCTTTCGTCAGCGCACTTATCGTACGCCCGCACGGTTCTTAATATGCCGACTATAAGTGCCAATTTTATTTTAGATATTCTATCTAGTACTAGAGTCCTAGATTATCAGAGAAGCACGACCGGCTTATGGCAGTTAGAGTCCTAGATTATCAGAGAAGCGCGACCGGTGTTACGAGTCCTGATTGGACTCGCAAATGGCCAATCATAAGATTGATTTATCGGTATTATAAATAGCTGCCGAATAAATCAATCTTATGATTGGCCATTCGACGCCATTTTTAATATTTTCTAGTACTTTTGCGATACTGCCATAAGCCGGTCGCGCTTCTCTGATAATCTAGGACTCTACTCTACCCTAGAGTCCTAGATTATTAGAGAAGCGCGATCGGCTTATGGCAGTATCGCAAAAGTACTAGAAAATATTAAAAATGGCGTCGAATGGCCAATCATATGTCGCGAGGCCGATGCCCCCGCAACAACAATAA